GCCTTTTTTTTTTTTGATGCTCCCCCTGTTCCCTCCACCTGGCTACGCCACTGCAGTGCTGGCTTTTGTGAATCCCATTCTTAGACACCTAACGCCCTCTGTGCCTTGTGTAGGGAGCCTGGGCACCTAACGTGGGGCTGCAGCTTCCACTAGGCGGCAGGGGGCCTAAAAGTGAAGCACTGCAACACGGAATCTAGGTCCGCTGCGTGGATCTGGACCCTGCTCTTTGTGCACTTGCCACGATAATAAAACAAAGTGCTCTTTGTAGCTCTACTGATTCATGAACTGCTTCCAATCAGAAAGACCACGTGCCTTCAGCAGTCAAGTCTGTGCTGTCTGCATTCCAGCTCTTCTGCTACATCCAGTCTATTGAGTCAAATACTGTCCTAAGGTACATGGAAATTATGCTGCTAACTTTCCCCCGTCAGCAGTTGTTTTTTTGCTTACTCCAAAATAGCTGTCCTGTTAGCCATGATCTCCCTTTAGTGAATCCCTGCCGACTGAGCTTAATGAGATCACAGCTCGTGTCCTTGGCTTGTCAGTGTTGAAGGCAAGCTGCTGCAGTCGTAGTTTTTAGGACATTGCTGGGTGGGTAGGACACACGATAAGGCTTGTCCCCAACATGACAGCCCGTCGACAAGCTCCTGAATGGAAAGGTGAGCGGTGGAGGGAGATTTGGAGCACAGGGCTGCAGGGGAAGGCATTTCATCATTGCAACTCGGCTGAAGCTGAAAGGGAAGCTTTTCAAGGTGCCTAATTCCAAATGACTGTCCATGGGAGTTAGGCACTGAACTCCCATTAGTGACTTTGCAACTCTTGCCCCTTAAAAACTTGACTTCTGAAAGTAAAGCTTTTTGGGGGGGAGCATGAAGCTCAATGCACCTTAAGTATCTAGGCTCTGCTCCGTAACTTTCCCTTCCTTCCCCGTCTACTGAACTGGGTTTCCCCCCTTCCCAAAAATTGAGAATCACATTTCTCAAGTGTTCAGCACCAGCAGCTCTCCACAAAGTTCCACCTTCATTTAGGCAGGGAGGTAAAGGTCAGGAGTGAAATCTTGACGTCAAGGGCAAAACTTCTATTGACTTCAGTGGGGCCAGGATCTCTCTCTCTCTCTCACACTCACTCACTCTCTCTCTCTCTCTCTCACACACACACACACACACACACACACACACACACACACACACACAC